AAGCATGGGAGGTGCTGCCTTAGGACGAATCCCAGCCTCCTTGTCTGGGGCCCACAACAAAGACTGACTGAACCTGGAGAAACTGCAACACTCCTGGCTCCGAGGGGACCCATCACTGTCCTGTCAGTGTGCATGCACCTGGCAGTGTGGTGCTGCCTGTAGCAGATCTACAGAAGAATGTTTCACTGGCATATCCACTTTACAAAGCGGGTAGTCTGAGGCTGGCAGTGCTAGCTGCACTTTACAGAATCTTTAGGGCTGGAAGAGACCTCTGGACATCACCCAGTCCAACCCTTCTCCCAGGCAGGGCCACCTAGAGCAGGTTACACAGGAACGTGTCCAAGCAGGTTTTGAATATCTCCAGAGAGGGAGACTCCACAACCCCCCTGGGCAGCTCATTCAGTGCTCTGCCGCCTTCAGCATAAAGTTCTTCTTTATGTTGACATGAAACTTTCTGTGTTTTCATTTATGGCCTTTGGTCCTAATCCTGCTGCTGGGCACCACTAAAACAGTCTGGCACCATCCTCCTGGTACCTGCCTTTGAGATATTTATGTGCATTCATGATACCCCCCTCAATCTCCTCTAGACTAAACAGGCACAGCTCCCACAGTCTCTCCTCATAAGAGGTGCTCTAGATTTCACTGCAGCCAGCCCATTCTGTTCGAACATCTGCTGTGCTGCTGGAGAAGGTGCCACATTCAGAACGGGGTTGCCTCAAGCACCAGCCACACAGGAGCCAATCTCTTGCAAATCAGCAATTTACAGTCCATCCCCTTTTCCCATGTCTGTGTATTCGTACTGCAGGACCAGAGGGGCAGGTGGTTTATGGGATGAAGGGGGAAATCATGCTTCCATTGAATCCCATAAAGGCCATGCGGATTGATGGGGCTGGGGCCATCTTTTATTCCTTCTGCTTCCCTGCCTCTGGCATTTCTGGTGCTGTAACCATACTGGGTGTGGGTGAGCAGACAGGTTACTGCTCCAATGTTTTCTGAGTATTTTTTTGTTCCTATGACAAAACGGATGTTGGAGAGACTTGCTATAGAATCTGCCTTGAACCACTTACCTCTGAGATGCCAGGCCCTGCTCGGTGTTAAGTGAAATTGTCTGCAGCTCATTAACATCAAAGCATTTTCTTCACTGGTCTGGGCAGCTCAGTAGTAACCAGCAGACAAACCAGTGAACAGCTACGCTCTCCACTAAGCTTTGCCTGCAAACAATTAACATCAAAGGGGAGCCACTGTGAAATAGGGGAAAAACAATGTTCCTGCTGCAGCAAGTCTCATGGCAGGTGGGGAAGTGGGGGAAGGCTGAAGCTCTGTCCCAGCTAGAGAGTTTGTGCAAAGACTGCAGGAGGGAGCAGAGGGATGGCTGCTGGGGCCTGCTGATGATGTTGGCCAAGGGAATGTTAGATCCACTTTGGTTTCAACAGAACTGTCCCATCATGTTGCGGGCAGCATGATGCTAGCTCTGGTGTATCAAACCAGTCCAGCCTAATTCTGGGATCAAGTCAGCTCTGCTGTTTTGGTATGTTTGTGATTGCTTACTTAGCTGCTGCTCTAGTTGGGTTTCCTGAGGCCAGTCCCTCTGTTTTTTACACCCTTCTTCTTGATCCACCAGAATACAAAAGTTTTGGATAGTGATTCCAGATGTTGCTGCCTCTTTTAAATAGACCTTGACCTTCTGTCCTCACAGAAGGCCTGTGGAATTAAAATGTTTTTTAGACGGCAGGTACATTCCCTTCCTCTAGCTCTCAAGCACTTTCTACTGCTTTATGTACTGGATCCTCTGGTTTGTGCTTTCCTCATACCCTCTTCCTCTTTGCTTTGGTGATGTGTAAGAAATCCAAGTTATTATATTTATCATGCTAACAGTCTGTGATTAGCCCTGGGGGCCAGCAGGGGTTGGAAAATGAATTAATTCTCATATGTTAGCGATGAGAAGCTTTTTGTGAAGTGCTGCATCAGCACAGAATAGAATAGAATAGAAACTTGGGGCTATCTCAAAGATTTCACTATCTAAACATCAGTATAGGAACAGAGGAGTGCAAAAAAAAAATTAGAACAATAGAACTGGAACTCTCATTAATAAGTGCTGGGGGTCAAGATTGACGATAGTATAAGCACAGTGCGATGTGCCAGCCAGCACACGCTTCCTGCCAGCTCTGCTGTGGGAGCATTAACCTCCAGCCACAGGGCAGATGATAGGAGCTGCAGGGTGCAACCAGAAAAGTTAAAGCTATAAAGGTTCATAAGTCAAAGTCGTAGGATGTGATTTTCAGGAAAGGCACTTTCTCCAGAAGGTAGATGTGCTTTGTGGTAAGGAAAAGCATACCTAATTCTGTTCATGCTTGCTCAAGAAAAAAGGATGCTCAAAACCAATCAGCTGAAGGACTGCTAATACCATCTGGGCAATAGTTAAACTGCCACAGAAGAAGGAACTATGGGTATTTATCTTACCCACCCTAGAAGAAGGAGGGACACATGGAAGCTGTGCACAGGATTGGGTTAGAGAAAGGTGGGGGAGAAAAGATGCTTCAAAGGGCACTTCAGCACTGCCTGAGTGTGAATGGGGAGGGGGACAGAGTCACTGCTGTGTTAGGAGCAGGTCTGCAGCCACTAGGGGAGTCTGGGGGGAAGCTTCCTGAAGGTAGTTAGCAGTAGCAAGAAACCTCTCTAAATTGGAGACTGATACATTTAAGACCAGCATCGAACGACCCAGTTCTCCATCACAGCAGGGATGCAAACTGGCTGCAGAAGAAACAAGGGGATAGTAACAGCATGATGGCCAATATCTCTGCTGCCTGCAAGCTCACCACCACCAAATTTATTCTCTGGGCATCAGAGCAAGAGAAGAATCTTGCAAGGAAGAATTTGCAGGAAGGCTCTCATGAAGACCACAGTGGGCAGGGACTAGTCCTGGTGTATCTGGACTGTTAAGTTGCAAGGTCAGCCACCACTAGTCACTCCAGCAGCTTGTCCACCTGATGTTGTAGCTACCGTGCAGACCACAGACAGAAGTTCCCTGCGAAGCCTAGAGCATTCAAGCAGCAATCCTTTTGTTCCAATCATCTACCTCTCAGGGAAGAAGTACTGCTTCTGTGGTTAGTACAGTGCCTAACAAACTTTTGAACTGATTCTAGCACGAGGCGTGCGTTTGAGTGGAAAGAAGATACCCTGCTGCCAACACAGGGATTGTGGAAATGGAGACACATAGACTCTAGTGGCTTATCACACAGAAAAAGGAGTGGAAAGAAAAGCAGTACATCACCAGCAATTGGAGTGAGGTGCAACTAAGAGGATCATTCCTGAGAAGAGGTGCCCAAAGGGCTTTCTCACTGTTTGTAGCAGAGATATTCCACATAAGTCATGTTTTTTGTCTTTACACCATTAATGGCTTTTAAATCAGGACTGGAATGCCCTGGTCAGTAAACCTGTGTGCTCCACTCATGAAAACAAGCTTCACATTGCCCTCTTCTCAGGGAAGCTGCACGTTTAAATGGGCTTTTGCTTCTTGCTAATCTGGTTGCTGTCTGCTCTGGGAAGTTCTACCTTCTACAGTTAAAAACCTTCCTCTGACTTTCCCCATGGTGGCATTAACAGCCATTAATAACCTGTCCTGCTTCCATTTGGCTTTAGATAGCTCTGTCCCTTCCTTGGAATTCCCACCCCCTGCGACTTCTCCAGTACACAGGCAGAGCAAGCACACCTCCATTTACTTGCTTTTAATGGACTAGCCAAACTGAGCTGACCTGGTCTCCTTTTGTGGGACGGGCTCATTGCTCTTCTACCTCCATGCACGATGAGCCAGCTGCATGCCTTTTGGAGTTCCCTTTGAATAGGACAGCTGGCTTACTGCAGCTGTAACTGCACCTGAATGGTGGCTTAAACACTCAGGAAACATCTTACCTGGGACATCCTACTGCCACATCTGCACACTGCTACCTCTGACCTCTCTGCCTTTCAAACGCCCTAATAGCGTGTGTATTGGCAAGGTGACGGTAATGGCTCCAGCAGTTAGGGATGGGGAGTGAAGGTCATGACTCCTGGGCTTCACTCTGGCCTTGTGGCAGGGTTTGGGTTAAGACATTTCACCTCACTGAGCTCATCCCTTGAGCCTGCAGAAAGCTAGTGGCAATGTTTTTCTCCATTGCACACCTTTCCCTGCCTATCCATGCGCTCACGGCTTGCCACCAGAAATGGTGTTATTGCAGCAACCCCCTTACATTGTCTGAGCTCACCAGAGGGAGGTCTTTGTGGTGCAGGGGTGAAAATGAACACCACTAAAACACGGGGGATGGATGTGTCAGGGAGCTGTCACTGCGGGATCGGTATTGGGAGGCCTCTTGGTCATTGTGGCTAAATGTCCTCCCTTTTCACCATGGTCACCGATAGACCTGGTGCTTTTAACCACACTGTCGAGTGGATGAGGAGATTTAAACTCTTCCTGACAGAAAACTATGTGGCCCCATCAGGAGTGGAATGTCCCCTCAGGGAACAGTGACTTCTGGGATGGGATGTTCCCTGAGGGGACAGCGATCCCTCAGAGGTGGTATGTCCTCTCAGGGGAGAGGGATCTCCCAGGAGGTGTGGAGGTGTTCCCTGAGGGGCAATCTTACAGGAGGCCAGGATCCCTCAGGAGGGATGGGATGTTCCCTGAGGGACAGCGCTCCCTGAGCGGCGGGACACCCCCTGAGGCAGCCGCCTCCTCTCATGATGGGGGATGTCGCTCAGGGGCAGTGACCGGAGGGCGCAGCAGCGCCCCCAAGCGGGCGGGCGCGGCGCTGCCTCACGTGCGGGCAGGCGGCGAGCGGGGCGGTGGGGTTGGGGCCTGTGTGGCGCAGGCGCGGCGGGAAGGGGCGGGGCGGGGCGTGCCTCTGGCTGGCGGCGCCTGCGTGGCGCAGCGCGGCGCGGCGAGGCGGGCGCTGAGGGCGGGTGGGCGTGGCGCGGCGCGGCGCGCGGCCCTTCCTTCCCGTCCCTGCCCCCCCTGGCCGTGCCCGCCGCCGCCCCCACCCCCGCCCGCCGCCCAGAAGATGGCGAGCCCGTGCGGGCGGCAGCAGTGCTCCATCGAGAGGCGCGGCGTCCGCCACCAGCTCGATTCGTGGCGACACAAGCTCATTCACTGTGTAGGTGAGGGACGGCCGCGCGGCGGGGAGGCCGGGCCGGGCCGGGCCCCGCGGCGGCGGCGGCCGCCGGGAGAAGGCTCCGCCGTGGGTTCGGATGGGGGGGGTTTGGCCGTGAGGAAAGCGGCGCCGCGGCCTGCGGGCCCGCCCCCCTTCCCCCCGCCGCCCTGAGACGAGCGGCGCCGGGCCCGGCCCCGCCCTTCGCCGGGAGTGGGGGGGTCCTGCCCTGCCCTTTTGTGCGGCCCCTGTCAGCGCCGCGCCCGCTCCTCCCGGCACGGCCCGGCCGCGGCCCCTTCAAACTTGTTTACGGCGGGGCCGGGGCCGGGGCCGCGCCCGCCGGCGGGGAGCGGCCGGACTGTCACTGCCCATCCGCCGCTGCGGGAGGCGAGGCCCGGCCCGGCTCACCTGCCCCCGGCCCGCGGCCGTGAGGCGAGGCAGCAGCGAGGGTGGAAGAGGAGGGAGGGATGCCGCGGAGCCGGCGGCGCGCCCGGCCTGTGCCCCGGCGGGAGGAGAAGCGGGGGGGAGGCTCGAGGAGGGATGGGGAGAGCGCGGCGGCGGGGCCGGCAGAAAGTTGTGGATCGGGGTGCCGGATTGACGCCGTGGATCCGGAGCGCGGGCGCGGGGGCTTAAAAGGATGTGTGACTGCTTTTCTCTTCTTCCTCCACCCCAACCTCCCCTTTTTTTCCTCCTCCTCCTCTCTTGTGCGCGTTTGTTGTTATGCAGGCTCCTTGCAATGTAATATTTGGGGGTTTTGAAAAAGAAGCCCCGGATGCCGTTTCATCTTGAGTAATTTTCTCCATTTCAAAATACACATTTTCATCCTTTTCTCTTTCCCTACAAAAAAAAGCAAGGCCTTTTTCTACGGGTCCCAACACACACATAAACACTAGCTCTAGGCCAGTAATTTGGTCGGTGTCTGCAAAGATAGTAACATAGCTTTGACACCAGCAGACTACAAACTTCCAGAGTAATCTTAAAAATCTTGAACCAGAACACTGGTATGTCTCTGCTTGTTTGGCCTCTTGCTTTTAACTGAGCACAAATCCTCATTTTATTTTTAAGTATGCAAATATGGCCATAATCTGCTGGGGACTGCTCAGTGTAGGTAATCTGTAATAACAGTCACAGATTCACTTCAGTTCCTTGTGTGCAGAGTTAAACCTCTTATTGTCAGTTAGCCCAGCATCCTAGTTCATTATCAGGGATTTGAAGCACCTTTTTTGGTTACATCAGGAGCTGTTACTGCAGCTGTGTATATTTTTGGCCTCATCTGAATGTTTAAATTTCTGCAGCACAAAAGCATGCTCTAGATGCTTGTGAACTCCAGATTAATATGAACAATTTAACTGGTTTTAAGCATAAAGAGATTCAAGGGCTTCAATACATTGTTGAGAAACTCGGGCTTCTACACACAAGTGATGGTTTTTCTTTCCAACCAGTTACTGATGCTTCTAGATCCTGTTTATGGTGTTTTATTTTGATTCTAGCTCTGCTGTGTTAGGAACATTTTGTTGGCTTCCACCTCTGCTTGAACTGGATTTATTTTACTTCTATCTCCTTTTCTCATCTCCTCTTATCTCGAGTGCTGGGGATCACCTGTTCTAGTCCTTTCTAAACTCCCTACTTGCAGCATATCATCTTGTCTTGCTCTCACTCCCTGCTGCTCTCTGAATCCTCCAGTGGAGCTGTCCTGTAGCTCAGTGTTTAACCAGACAGCAATGAGGAGTAAATGTGAGAGGGGGGAAGAAGAAATGGGAGAAAAAAGACTGCTTCAAAGCTGTTGAAGATCTTGGGGTGAAATGCAGGAATTTTGTCTGTTCATTATGCTGCTCTTTGGGAAAATCTTGGGTTGGTGAAGAAGTCTGTGTTATCTACAGACTCAAGGAAATCACTACCTTATTAAAGTTCTTAGCAACCCTATGTGCTAAAACCTAAAACAAACACCATCACCACCCCCTGCCACCCCCATTTGTACACACCCTGTTCCACTTCCCTAAAGCCATTTAAACTGCTAGCTCCTGGAGAGGTTGTTTTCTCTTCTATCCCTTTCATATCTCTTCCTCATACTTAAATTTGATATATGTTTTGTTTCTCCACAAGATTTCCCTTCTGAAAGCCCCTCTCTATGTGTTTTGACAAAAGACTGTGAACTCTATTAAACACAGAGTTGACTAGGATTTTTTTTGGAGGTAAAGTACAAAACCATTTCTTAAAAAAATAGAGTCCAAAGTGTAACAATGCTTTGTGACTTTTATCTTGATGGCACTATGTCATAAATAGTTTCCACCTCAAATTGATCAGCTTTATGAGGTCTAGGGACCTGCCCTATTCCTAGTATGAATGCTGCATAAATTGTTGGGTCATGTAAATGTGTTGTTACCTTTTTGATATGATTGTAATAGAAATGTAAAAGGTTTATTGCACAAGCCCAGGATGTTCAGCTGAAATTACGCTGTGGTCATCACCTTGTGCCCCAGACACATCTCTCTTGTCTTTTCAAACAGTTTTGGCATTGTTCTTGAGAGTTGGAATTTGACCTGTCAAATGATGTAATGTTATGGTTCACCTTAGCCCTTCATAGAAGTCTTTAAGAATTTGTTACGGTCATAAATACTGATAGATAAATATGGGGAAGCAGAGTATGAAAACCCCTTCTGTTACTTCAGAAATACCTATTCATGTTGAGTTCTGAAAGTAAACCTGAGGTGTGTGGGATTCTCTGTTAGCATCATTCCCTGAGAAGTAATTCTAGTATCAGGCAGTGTGGTAGTCAGAAAAAATAAAGCTTGTGGTTTGAACTGGAGCATTTAGCAATAAAAATGGCTTAAGTAATTCGCTTCACTTTCCTCTCTTGCTTCTGCAATAGGCTGCTCTTTTGGACTGTGGCTTCATGACGGTTTGTGCTGTCAAGGGGAGCAGGAACATAGGAGGGCTGAGGGAGCACCTTTGCACACAGGGAGACAATCCAGGGGAGCTGTGCTAGCAGAAAAACATCATTTCTTGGAGAGAGTAGAATAATTTTTTGCTAGTATAGCTCCCTTAGCTGGCTGGCTGTTGGGTCAGGCAAATACCAATGCTAGCAAGAGGGTGAGGACGTATAGCTGGTGGAAAGAAAAAGAGCAAAGATACGGACCATCTTGAGCAGTCACAGAGTTGCAACTTTGGTTGTGTTAGTGCAGCGTTTTGTGGGAGGTAGCTCAGGGAACTGATTTGGTTTAAACCTTCCTTCTTTGTCATGCATTTCAAGCCCATTTTTTTTTTGAGGAGGAGGAAGGCATTGTGGCTTGTGGAGGACAAGTGAGCGGTTCTGTTGAAACTGATGCAATTGAGGGAGCAGCATGCTGTGCCCCAAGGTGGAGAGAAGTGTGGGGAAGGGGTGTCTGAGCTCTGTGCAATGAGATGCATCGAGCTGTTGAACCACAGCATGAGAGGTTAGTCAGGAGTGGTACACAGGGTCTTGATGCCCTGGTAGAACTTTAATTTTAGAGACATGATATGCCACATGATAACCGTTGGATGCTAACATATGTGTTCTCTGTATCAGTCTTGAGTGTTAGGATCTTTCTCAGTGGCCAAAAGCAGATGCCTGGAGACAAATGTATGTGATGCTTTTATTTTTTATAATTCCCCCCCTCCCAGCCTCCAGTCACCTGCTGTTCAGGCACTTGCTGAACTGGAAATGGATGGTGAGATCAGGTCAGCTAAGAAATGAGGAGTTTGAGGGAGAAGACATCCCTAAAACCCTGCTCACACCTTTTCTACAGGCAGTTACAGCATTGCAATGCTGCATGGTTACTGGAGTGGTAGATCGTGGTGGTCACGCGTGTTTCTACTTGCTGGTGATGCTTGGCCCTTTGTTAAATATTAGCCATGCTCTTGGAGACTCCCTGACTGAATTACAGCCTGGGTTGGGGAACTGGGGCAAGGGAAGGAATATATTAGTTCTCTTCAGCAGTGATCCTAGTTTTAGAACCAAGATGATGATTTAAAGGGAAAACCTCTGACATTCACATAGGATTTCCAATCATGTTAAGCTCTCGTGTTTCACTGAGATGTTGCTTAAGTGTTGGTTTTGCTCTTAAGCTGTCAAAATAAGAAGCAATTTCCTTTTTTTTTTTTTTTTTTTTTTGTTAAATGATTGTTGCTGGGAAAATACTGCAACCTGAGTGCCTGATCTGTTTCTGTGTACTCATTTGTTGAATAGTGGTGGTCTTCCCTGCCCTTGGATACTTGGGACTAAAGTGTGGATCCTGGGGAAGAAATGTGATACATCAGGAAGTATTAGAAATTAATATTAATCAGAAGAAGGTGTCTAACAGTTGAATAATTCTGAAATCTTTATTACATTTTCTTATCTTAATTATTGCTTGGGTATAGTTCCAGCCTGTATATGATATGAATTAGCTCCTGCTTCCAAACAGCAGTGTTATCTCCGTGGTTTGGAAGTAGGTTTGTATCCAAGCCTTTAACAGTTCTTGTTCAAAGGGCAGATTGTATTTCTTTGTTGCAAAATGAAAAAGCTTGTAGCCCTGATGTTGATACAAAATAATAATAAAAAGCAAGTTTAAGTGCTAAAGTAAAAGTTTAAATGCAGAGCTATTCTAAACCCGTATCTGTTTTACATACGCCTCCAGCCATGTTCCCAGCATATGTGCCAGTGGTACTATTTGCCTTATTTCAACTTGCATTTAATGTAGATGCAGCTTGCAGCTTTTCTTTTTAGTTAGTATAAGCCCATTGTATGGCAACTTTACACTATAGTAGCTGGAGGCTTGTTCAAGAAGATCTATCTACAAACAAACACTTTTGACTGTTGGCAGGATAAATATAGGGAAGGAGAATTACTCTTTTATGGCAAAATTGTGCCAGGGAAAGAAGAATTGTCAGCTGTCATTTAAAAATGAAAATCTTTAGTTGTAAGGAGTGAAATTTACAGCTTGATTAGCTTCACTTTAAGATGTGCATGGAAGGATGGTATGCATCTGAAGAACAGTACAAGTTGAACTG